TTAATCAGAAAAATGTGAAGCAAAGTGACAAAGAACAACAAAAATCACAGCCACCTCCCCATCCCCCCAGCACAACCGAGATCACGCCTGTCATCCCTGTATGTGCCCGTCATCCCGACACGCACTGGGGGAGGGAGAGACGGGTGCCATCTTGGCCATCCCCCCCCCCCCCCCCCCGCACAAACCCGGCCCTCCCCCCCCCCGGGGGGGGGGGGGGGGGGGGGCCCGGTTTTGGGGGGGTTGGGGGGGGGGGGGGAGAAATGGCCGCGATTGCGCCCATCTTTCCTGCACAAATGCAACTGCGATCATGGCCATGTCTCCACTTGGGGGGGCGGGGGGCAAGATGGCTGCGATCTTGGTTGCCACCCAATGCGGAGTTCGTGACCTGCATCAACATTTTCATTAAATTTTTGTTCACGACCCAATTTGGTCATGGAACAAGGCATTTGTGAGCCGAGGTACCACTGTATCTGCAAAGTTCTGCTATGTCATAGCACTTAGTGGTTGTGTTATGTAACATATAGAAAGTCAGAACACATATCCGGAGGAAAAGAAGCATGTGTAAAGGAGCTGATCTTAAACCCACAAAAAATCTGGACACAGACACCTCAATAAAGTGGGCAGGTTAAAAGCCTCATGGAAAAAGTTCCAAGTCTTCTCTGTGCTAGCTCCTAAGGGCCATTTGAACTAGACTTCCTACCACAAAAACCTCCCCCTTGCTTATTCTCACAGCATTAAAGAATGTGTTCATTTTAGCACCAGGATTATTTTCGATCCTGACATCGCCTCAGGTAATTTTTATTTTGAGAGGCTATGACATTGGCTGGAGCGTTTGCTCAATTAGCATCCATTGATTCTGTAAGGTGGCTCAGATCCTGAACATGTGGCTGGAGACTCCAACCAACAGGGGAGTGTATCTAGCCAAAGCAAGAGCTAAAGAAACATCCTACCTGAGGATATAAAATGAGTGGATCTGGATAGATAACCTAAGCAAGCAAAGCAGGGATGAATTGCCAGCCAGACTGCCCTTTTCAGCCTGGCACATAGTCACAGAGGAGGATTTCGACTGGCACCATACAAGGGGGGGTTAAGAAGTAAAGAACGGGGCCAAAGGGCCAAATCATGCATTCCTTTTAGCCTTCTGGAATAATAGTTAAGGGGACCATTTCCAAAAGCAGGGGTCAAAGATCGTGAACACACCCTCCCACACCCCTGTAATTTCAGCACTACACATGCATAGCCCATTAAACAGAGCTGAAATCCGGCTGAATGACTGCTTGGGAGATGGGTGGAGCTGCAGATTCAGCCCCATTTCTCATGGCTCTCCCTTTCCAGCCGAGCCACAGATTGCAAGTTTCCTGCTTTTAAAAAGGGGCTACTCCTATGCAGTGCCAGTTGCTCCCCACACACTCACTAACAGTAATGGGATTTTGTCAATGGCTTTTAACATGACTACAATTCCTTCTCCCTCCTAGGCTGCCAGATCTTTTGCTGTGACTATTTGTACCCAAATGTTATTTCCCCTTTCCTTGCACTTTCTTCACTGAACTCAAACATGTGGCGTGATTATTTCCTTAAAACATTTCTGGATCATTACTATTACAGCTCAACCAAGACCTCTTGATGGGAAGAAGGATAAACTTTTGTTGTTGTGTGTTTTTCTTTTCTTTGTGCTCTGGGGTGAGATTTTAGACTTTATATGAGTGTGTCGGATATCCCATCTCCATCATAAATCTTTGTAAGTGAGTGTGAACCTCTTCTAGAAGTGTCCCAGAGGGAAACAAAGAGTTTGATTGGAGTTAGGGGGACAAACTACCGCAGTACAGGCAGGATTTCCTGTATGGCAGAGTGCAGAGATGAGGGTTGGGTTGTCTTGCTGTTCTACAATTTGTCACATCCATTTGGC